GCCTTTCTCCGTTCGCGTGATGCAACCGCTCGTATTGCAGTAGCACAAATATTCTTAATTGTGTAAACATTGTAGGTGTGTACTGAACATCAAGACTGAACAGAAATGTAGACAAGTCACCACTTAATGACGAATGTACTTCTACCTTCGAAGATCGGTCGTTTGACAGTGAGGATATCACTGAAGGCGGCAAAACAACTATTTGATATAGATTAGTTCAATTATCACCCTCCAATTGCGATCGTTATAAACGGAGACATCAAATACTTTGATCCAGAAACCCAACACGAACCAGTGCGCACCAGTTTAAAGCGACTAATCACTGAATGCTCACAAAGTTTAGGCCAGAAGCAGACTGCTTCGAATACATTTTTCAAAATTACATGTCTGCAGGCTTAGATACTTCTCAAGGTGAACAAGTTAAAGTGATTGATGTACAAAAGTAGTTACAATTTATTTCAAAAAGGTTCCTCACAAGCTTAAAAATAATGGGTAGGAATGAGAGACTTTACAACAAATTTTAAGTTTAGTCACTTATGTTGGTATGTCTAATGATTTTAAGTGATTGATCAACATTTCCAAGAGGCAAGCTGAGGTAAACTGTCCTATTTGTATGCAATATCGCCATCAAAAAATTTATTCTTCTGCCAAATACCTCTGTGATTGTTTGTCATCCTATAAATAAACACTTCCCTACTCTTAGTCAGGCTTCTCCGTAACCCATTGTTGTTGAAACTTTTATTCTGTTTGAACGATTTGTGGTATGAGCACTCTACCAGTTCTATCAGTTAATTTTTGTGACTCAATGTTTTGCCTATGTTCTATTTCTAGCTACAGTATTACCGTATGAACAAAGCACATAATTGATATCCCACAACTAACATCAGTATCTCTAACTGTTACTTCAGTATCTTGGTCTGAGTAAATGGTTTTATTCGGAGACCTGCTATTCAGTGCTATCTCTTGTGCAGGATTTTTACAATCATACGCTCTGTTTGCAATTTTTGACCTTGCTTAATAGTTTTCATCTTGAAGCAAAGATGAGTGGTGCAGACATTATAGTGAGACCTCACGTCAATAGAACATGCCTAAGAATGTTCCGACCAGACAGACCATCTCATTTCAATGTTGCAGTTATATCACAGTTCAGGATTTAGGTTGTCCATGTATATTCCTTCCAAGTTCCAATAAAACCATTACCAATGAGAGATACGCCTGATCACGTGAATGTTTGCAAATATCAACTAAGTAGGTGTTTTTGCGCCCGTATTCGAACCATTAGAAATATGAAATGGGAGACGCCAGTATTTACCCAAAATATTTGACGGTAGATGCTCCGTTTAATTTAAAAGTCGAAGACTATGTCGACGACCTCAATTTCTTAAGATGTGTTTCATATTGAATCAAAGTTTGGATCCAGAATGATAAGCTATCATCTAGAAGAACTTATCTTGACTTAAAATTTGGATGATTAACAGCGGACCAATTATCATCTTTTCAAGGTGAAAAGTAGTCCATCTGAGACATAGATCATACGATGCACACAACTAAGATAAAGAGTGCAGGCATGACCTTCTACTAAGTTTTTAATAGTTTTGTAGCAGTATATAAATCTCAGAAATTATCAGTTCTTCGAAATTCGATGCTCATCGCATTAGTCTTAATCAACACATCTAGCTGAAGGCTCTCGGTCATCCATCTGCATCAGATCACGAGTGGATATGACGTGCTACGCATTCCTTGCAACTGCTAACCAACTTAGATTAAATGCTCACCGATATATCGGTAACCTTTCGAATATAACTTCTAACTTCTTCATTTCTGACCTCTAATTTGACTGGATTGGCACGCTCCGGTCATAAAGGTGTTACGCGTAAATGTGTTTTCAAACTCCGAATACCTGTGACATATTTAGTTCTATTCGGCCTCGTTTACGATACCGAAATAAAGTTTTTCCTTCTTCATCTAAAATTAATAAGCGTACTTTTAAGCTCCCTCAAAGGTGAATTCCGAAACTAGTTTGTGGAGTCAGTTCAGAGCACAACTGAGGAACGGTTTATATCACTCGATCTCTTTAAGAATATAAATGAATGATGGTCGACCACTTAGTGACTTACGGAATCAGAAACGCCCTTTAGAAACTTCTACAATACCTTCTTCAATCCAGCTTCAACCCGGACGCCAGAGAAACAGCCGGAAAATTAGAAGCACAAAACAGTTAATTGGACTATCGGCACACTTTCTACCCCTTACGGGTAGTCATCCTATGAAATTCACTCAATGGCTTTAATGAATTCCCATGATTTCTTCAAGATGGAACCTGATATATTGTCTGGAACCCAGGACAGTTGCAAATCCAACGGTGATCCAATGCTGCAGGACACTGAAGTTTGTTGTGAGAAAAACTCTTATATTCCATCTACAACCTTTTTGACTCTTAGCTCTTGGCATAGAAGTCATTCGGGCGAAGGGTATCGCTATTTGGTTCAAACTATTGAATATGTTTGTTTTGACTTCCCACCGAATAACCTTGTGGTTGTGTTCCTCACTGACTTTTGTAGGTCAACTACTAAGAAGTTACTCATGACGGAGGATCAAGATGACAATGAAAAGCCTAAGAAGCCTACAACACACGACGAGCGTGGTGCAGCAGATCTGGAACGTGTTACTGATTACTTTGAAGAGAAGGAGCTTAGTGTTGGCCTAGATGCAGTCAAAGCCGTGTCAGATACAGCTGGCGATGCTGTTGCCGCTGACAAAGCTCAGAAACAAAAACAAATGTTAAAGATTAAAGTCAAAAATGAAGACGTGTCGCTCATTGTAGGTCGTATATACTTCTACGTATCTGCGCTCTATTTATGTCTTATTTGTAAATGTTTACTGCAAAACTCGTAGTAGTTTTTGACTGATGTTTTCGATGTCGAAACTTAAATTTAGCACACTTTTAGACAGTTTACATATCACCGGTAATCTTAACTACCTTCAAGAATACTGACTCAAGGCAAATTGGATTTTTAGCTAGATTAGGACGGTAATAACTATACCACACAATCTCCTTATTTTGGGGAAGATTTCTGTGTTTTGTAGAAGCCGATATAAAAAAGTTCCGCAAAATGGCACAAAAACCCTAAAATCGGAAGATTAGGCACATACGTCAGGATTATTTCCATTTCTCCCTACTTTTCTTCATATTATTTGGTTTCCGTTGACTGTATCAAAAGTAGATGTCAATCAAGCCATACACCGAAACTACCAGTTCTGAGTGTTTTTTTTTGTGTACAGAAGGTGGAAATCTAATGCATTGCACTGAAATTCTCGACGAACGAAGGAGCATGGATGCATGTATATACCTACTAACTACTTCCATCTTACAATGCAACTAAATAGTGTATAGATGTGAGGCCTACTCAAAGTACTAATGAATAATACTGAGCCTAACCCACACTGGAGTATATCTGCACCCTTTAATACACATGCGGTTTGTTGAGAAACTTATAATCAGTGATCTTGTCAGACATTTTCCTGTAGGAGTGGCCGTAAATTGTGTCCAGCCACGCCGTCAAAATGATTTATTTAAATGTTTTGCTCCTAAGCCTAAATACACATTCTGCATAGGGTGTTACTTACTTATCTGCATCCAAGGTCTAATATCGGATCAAAACCTAAGCTTATGAGTTCTAATTCTACAAACTTATGTATCAGAAATGTTTTGATTATCTACGGTTAGGAAAGTCATAGATGGTCAACTGGTATTATGAGAACAAGAAAGGGCAAACACTTCACAAGCTAATATGGATCGAGTTCGATAGGTTAAGGCTAAGCAAACGAGTGTCACAGAATATCGGCCAGACCTACTCAATGGTTGTAAATATTGTAGTACTAACCTAGGGAAAGTTGCAGGTCGCAGTGTTTGCCATTACGTTAGCGAGCGAGTTCTCCGTTATCCTGACCAATTTCGTTCCGTTTTATTCCTTAACCCTTTATTGCCCTGCAGATATAAATAAATGAATTAAATATGTACGGCGATGCTGCCTCCTGACTAATGGAATTTTCGTTTATCTTCACCACTTTCCTGATTGAACTAAACACGTGCAACACACTGGATTCGCCCGAACTGCTATATGCAACTTACAGACTTTCGTTATACACGTCAAATATAGCTTACTCTTTGACACGACTGCTCAGTTGTTTTAACATAGTTTTCAGTTAGTCGTTTTCATTTCCGCATCGTTATTTAGAGCGTTACAACTGTGTTGTCTTCCAGACTACCATGTACATAAACTAATGTTGGTCAGGGAGGAAGTTGATACTAACCAGCGAAGCTCGTGATTGTTTGTCTGACATTTGCAGCAAGTAATTGATGAGTTTCCCAATTAATCTTCAGTCCAGAAACAAATAACTGGTGGTCTCGAGGGATGAAGCCTAAGGTGGACCACAAAGATGCACTTTACCACCTATGTTTACTGTTTCCTCACATCCTTGTTTATTATCGTTGTTTTGTAAGACGTAGAGACTCACCTTAGTCGAAGCGATTATTCCGTGAAATGAAACTGACACGGTCTAATAGGGATACTTCTTATGTCGTAGCAATAACTAAACAATAGGTTCCCATGGAATGGATTTTTATACCCCTTGGAGTGGATGTATAAATATAGCAAGATCTTGCTTAAGAATGGGTTGCTTTGACTGGCAACCCCTTTTAAGATGTAATTCTGTGTATTTCGATTGCATGTTAGATCTTGTTTTTTTCGTTTACAGTGTCAAGAACTCGAAATTAGCAAATTGATGGCAGAACGATATCTAAAAGAACATCAGGGTAACGTTTTTGAAACACTGGTTGCACTATGCAAATAGCCATGAACAAATACCTCTAGGTACCACAATCAAGACTTATTTCAAGCAATGGTTAATGCATTTAAAAATTTGAATTTCTATTATGTACATCATTTGAGTAAATGAGAATGGTTTCTGTACAATAAATACAAGGAGTCAATCAAATATCATTGTTTAGATATTCTATTTCGTAAAGTTGATAGCACCGGGGATTTGGGTACCGTTGGGGGTTTGCGCGTGGGAGATTTGATCGTTTTATACCGCCTTATCGGTTCCGGTTTGTGTACAGATTCTTTGCGAATCTGTCTTATTTCATTGGCCTCGTCCTCCATTCTCTTAAGTCTAATGAGTTCCGATTGTTGCTGAAGAATATCTCTTCTCTTTTTGGCTTCATCGTCATATTTCGACCTTGACATCGCGCGCTCCACGGTGGCTAGTTTAGGGGAGACAGCAACTATTGGAGAACGCTCTGGAAAAGTCGGAATAAACGGTGCTTGGTAAATGACTGATGGGGATTTGGTTCTTCCTCTTGTAATTATGGACTCCTCAGTGGATGTACTAGTCTAAGATAGTGAAAAAAGTGGACTAAATATAAAGAAAACTGTGATGTCAAATTTCAACGATAAATGAAGGTCAGCTTATTTACAACAACTGGTCTTCGAAAAATAAGCTAATCGTTAAAGAAACATGAATACAGAAAGGTTTCTACACATCAAGTGAATGTAACTATATCCGAAAGTTTCTTGTATTTTCTAATATTGCTCCTTATCGGATATCAGTGACCATGTATGTTTTGTAAGAAAGTATGTTACAGGTAAACGGCGATTAATTCTCGGAATTCATACCAATAAATAATTAAGTCTAAATCACCGGGGATTTTATTTATTTATTTTAATACATAGATATTGGTACAAGGAGGCACCAAATACATATGCGCCACACAAATCTAATTTGATATGTGTGAGGGCTGTGATACTGCCCGGGTGCCCAAACCGAAGCAGGTGGTTTTCTCAGGGGGCCACACATGGAGCCTTCGACCTAAAGGTTTAACCCACAAGGCAGTGGGGCATTGTAAGGAGATGCAGTCCCATGGAAGCCGGTGACCAACAATAGGTTCATACGCCATTTGTTCCCACAGGATACTGGAGCCCATGTGCACCATTGGTTTGAAATCAGGGTTTTCCAACTCCCCTAGGTGAAATCTCCGTGTCCACCAACCCGGTTAAAGCGCCGGACATACGCTTTTCGTCCTCTCAATTTCGTAAACAACACTACTGCCACGAGAAGGCGATGAATAGGACTTCCCTGGCACAGGCTATATACGCGTGGCCATGTGAGAACATTTCGATAGGAAGAGCGGACTCTCCCCACTCTCGGCCGTATCAAGGCATTTGGGGGCACCGGGGATCTAGAATATGTACTCCTATTCAACGTTTCGAGTAGTAAGGACTGGTCATTCTATTATAGTAGAATGCAAATGTGTTCACTTAGAAACTTTTCATTGAATAATTTGATTGGATAACACAATACCGAAAGCCTTCGGTTTAGAATAAAAAAATGAAGAGTGGTATTCGTTCATGTATAATGAGGATTGTAAATCTAAACCAACCTCTCTTTTGCTTTTGTGAAGTGCTATCCTTTCTTCAGTGAATGAATGGAATGAGATTGGATGAACTGGAGAATGAACAACACGTGGAGGTAGACGATCAGGTGATCCAACCCTCATAGGTTGAGCTTTGAATGAATTTGCAAGCACCTTAGCATTTAACTCTGCTTGGACCATACGTTCGTTTCTGCGCTTTATCAACGATAATTCACGATCTTCAAAACTAAATGGTTTCGGATGAGTACAGTTCTGTGTAAAAGAAACATAGGCCCAAAAAAGTGAACTTAGTGATTTCTCATTTGAGTAAAGAAAAATGCTGATAACGATTTAAGCTACTGTTATGACTAGAATTGTTGCAATCCAAAGGATTCTCGAAGCATTTCACACAGGCAGACAACAACATGAAAAAGTCGTAGACTAAGTACAGCACAATAAACTTGACAACTAACGCCCAAGTGAGGTTACGAGAAAAGCGGCTTTAAGTATGTTAATTGGATTCCCAAGTTGATATTTCAGAAACGGATACAAGTTTCCAAGTAAAAAATATCGTCCGATAAGCTTACTTATCTTACTGTATACCAATCAATCACAGGCGAATGTGAGAAAAATTTCAATGTAGATATTAACCCAAGCATTTTCGGACTTTCATTGTATCCAACATACAACTTTGTTACTATTTTTATTTGATAGCATTATTCCGTTCGACTTCAGTAAGAGGTTTGCATATTAGAAATACTATCTCTAAAAGCATGCATATATATATATATATATATATATATATATATATATATATATATATATATATTCGTCTACCTAACGTTGGTGATGACAATTTGCAAGTAGTTGTTAGAGCATAGTTAAAGCAGCCACTTGATATTAACTTTCACAACTATTTAGTTTTTACAGTATTATTTAGGTATTTTTTCTAGTTCTACTTGCACACATGCACACCAGACAAATCATTTGTCTTACAACACAGTTCGTGTGATAAATCATGTGTTCTCTCCCAAATGCCCTGGTAAAGTCGAGGATGGGAAGTCATCTCTTCTCGAAATGCTCTCACATGACCACGCGTATGCAGCCACCGCCAGGGAAGTTCTAATCACTGCCTTCTCATGACTGGGGTGTTGATTACGAAATTGAAAAGATGAAAAGCGAATGTCCGGCGCTTTACCTGGGTCGGTGGATATGAAGGATCCATATAAGGGAAATAGAAAACCTTTATATTTCAAGTGTACATATAACTGAACTTATTCGAAAAGTAAATGTTTCCCTAGTTCTAGGGTATAAAATACGCAACTACTAACAATAAGATCCCGACGCTGATTTAAAATCATTCCTAAACCTCATAAATGTTTTCATCATCATGACACTAGCACTGAAACCTGTATTTAATAATGTTGATCCAATATCCACAAAAACATCAGAATCCATTTGACTTAAACGTTATCTGCCTCAACCCCAGGTATAAGGCGACTGTGGTCGTCAGGATATTTTCCTCTCGAGATACAATTGAAACAAAGTAGACAAATCAGCTTTAGTTTAAAAGACTCCCCAACTACAATACAAAATACCTGTGATATTTTATCACACCCAAAGGAATCAAATTCATTTTGTAACTATATGCTTTTGCTTCGTTATGAAATAATACTAGAAACAGAGTAAATGTACCTGGACCATAGACTAACCTCGGACCATGCCACCCAGTCTCTAATGACTGGTCCCGACTAATGTGCGAATGACAACCAGATAACAGAAACCTGCTAACACGGTTTAAATAACCACTTAAAAACTATGAATTAGTGCTAACACTTGATTTAGCCATCCTAAGCTTTCTTTTATCCTGCATCTACAAAAGCGATGTTTAGATACATCACCCACCTCAGTAGGTATAACCACAACCTTACCAACCGATGACTTGTTATCAAGTATTTTTATATCTAACCCCGCCATTACTTAGTTGTCTCACTACTTACTACCAATTCTTGGAAGATCTTAAAGTACGTTACAACATAATAACAAGTTCACACGGTTCGGCAATATATTATTATAGATGCTGTGACCATATATAGGCCTCATTACATTCTTTTAAAATTTACATCAACTGAGTGGAACCGCACCAGTAGATTAATGAGAACATTCAGCAAAAACAAAAAAGTGGGACGTACTTCTTTATTCGAACCATTTTCTGAACCACAAGAAAGCATTACAATTGGATGCCTCTTGGCATGCATGATCGTTCTAACTGCAAGGTTTATAAAGCAGGCAAAAAAGCAGTGGCATTAGGCTATTTTTAAAAACTTACACTGAACAAATGACTAAACAAATAATAAACGAACCAAGTAGTAAATACCATATTCACCCAAGCAACCATTAAAGAGGAAAAAATAGTGAATAATTTCCCCTTTTCGTCGCTCCATTTAAAATGTCATTGAACTGTTCACTTTCCGCCTAGCTCTAAATGTTTATGTTCACCTTCAGTTCCACTAAAAAACGCTCAACGACTGAGGTCGACTACATTAAAGAACGATACATGGCTGAAGACATTTATTGACAGGAAATAACATCACTGATTAAAAGGAGTTTAATAATAGACAGACGCACATTACGTACTCTCATTATAAGTGCAAATCCCCACTGTCATTCACAAAGATCCGCTAAATAAGTTACAGGTAACGGATTACCAACTAAGGATGTGCATATGAAATCGAAAAGACAAGGATGTGTGTTTATGAATGACCACGTTATATTCTTAAGTAATATAGACTGGAAGCTGCTTCGTCAATCAATCCACTCATATTCTGCATTATACTGAGTGAAAAAAGTCAAGGTTCCTGTATTTAAGGGAAAGAACCAGAACAGTAGAACCCACCATCCGGACTATTCCTAGTTGTGCGCAATTGTGATTATTTGTGTTTAATGAGCAATTAAAACAACATGTGCACACACATTGCTGAAGATATATTGCAACCACTGAGCTTGTTTCCTTCTAAACAGAGTGTACCTTATCAGGGAGTAACAATCATGTTAAGGAATCGTTTCTCATGAGATTTTAGTTTCATGACAAAATTCATGGTAATATTGTTAATAATGTCAGTTCCTAAACTTTTGCACGATGAATGTGCTATGTTCGATTAGTTTCAGAGTGTAAATTACCTGAAAAGTCGCTTTTAATTAGATTATGAGCACCTTTCCATTTTAGGAAATTTTAAAACTAGATTTATCCATTCTATATCTCAAATGGAACAATATATATGTGAAAAAATAATAGCTTACTTATCTGTAGCTTGGATAAGTGGATCATAATTATTGTTAGATAAAAATAAAGAGTATTTATTAAAAAATTCCTTCGATGAAACCATCTGATTTAGCTGCACATTCGTACTGGTGGTTGTTTTATAAATGAGGACTATAGAATGATGTAAAAGACTGCATCATAAAGTGATTTGGGACTTCACAAATAAGGGATTGCATAATAATCAGTCATGGTAACAATTGGGCAATGACAATAAAATATTGTTAGAGGATAATAATAACTTAATGCGCCTTAAGATTACAAAATAATGATAAAAATCAGAACGAGACCAAGACAAACTGCGTGAGGGAATCATGGCTAAGAAAGGGTTTTCTTCGCTGGCCCCATGCAAAACCCTCCTCTTTAACCCGGACTTGCGAACAGCAGTAATCCTGAAGGAGCTGCAGGGGTAGTTATAGGTGCCACAATATTCCCACACGATCACATACACAAAGTTAAATGTGTTGCACCGGATCATACTACAGAGTATGAAATCGATCATATTTGCATCACCAAAAAATCCAAAAGGTTAATAAAAGACATAAGAACTAGGTGAGGATCTGACATAGTTTCAGAGCACCACCAACCGGTGATTGCCCAGATGAAACTGAAGCTAATGAAGTACTGAGCAACTGGGGAAACAGTATCACAAAGGTCCAATACGAAATTCCTTTGATATTCTGACAAATTCAACAAATTCAAGATAACTCACAACAATAGGTTCTAAGCATTACAAGATCTACTTAAAGAAGAACTTATTTTGAAGGACAATTGGAAAGGGATCACAGAAGCATTCTTATCAACATGTCAGGAGGTTCTAGGCTACAACAATCATCATCATAAGGAATGGATCTCTATTGAAACGCTAGACAGAATTCAAAATAGGGCGAACAAGAAGATGGGAATTAACAACAGCCGAACAAGGCCAGAGAAAGTCAAGGCACAAGCTGAATACACTGATGCAAACAAGTAAGTGAAGAGGAACACTAGAGCTTACAATCAGAAGTATGTGGAAGACCTAACAATTACAGCGGAAACAGATGCAACGTAAGGAAATATCAAGCAACTAAATGACACAACGAAGAAACTGACAGGAAAATGTAGCAAACCAGAGGGATCGGTCAAAGACAAGGAAGGCAAGCCAATCACTAGAATCCAAGAACGGAGGAGTATATGAGTAGAATACTTCGAGGAACTCGCGAATATACCAGCCTCACTGAACCAACCGTGAATAAAAGCAGCACCTACAGACCTTCCTACAGATGTTACTCCACCTAAGATCGAAGAACTCATGGCCATCAGAAAAACCAAGAGTGGGAATTCAACAGGACCTGACAAGATACCACCTGAAGCACTAAAGTCAGACATAGAAGCAAATGCAATAATGCTACACGTTTAATACAGGAAGGTTTGTGAGGAAGGATAAGTGCCGACAGACTGAAGAGAAGGATATATCATCAAGATATCAATCAAAGGAGATCTGAGCATCTGTGTTAACTAAAGAGGGATCACACTACTATCAGTACCAGGAAAAGTTTTCAACAGATCTGCTGAACCGGACAAGAGATTCAGTGGACGCTCAACTTCGAGATCAACAGACTGGATTTCGTAGGGATCGGTCGTACACAAACCAAATCGCGACACTGTACATCATCGTTGATCAGTCAATTGAGTGGAATTCGTCACTGTACATCAGACTCCTTGACTATGAGAGTGCACATGGATAGGAGAACTTAATGGATACTTCCTCAACAATATGCAGTCCCTGGGAAAATTGTCAACATTACTCGGAATTGATACGGCGGACTACAGTGCAAAGTGGTGCATAGAGGACAACTGACAGACACATTCCAAATGGGGACCGGAGTCGGTCAAAGCTGTCTACTCTCCTCCTTCACTTTCTTCTGGTGGTCGACATCTGACGAGAAACACGGAATAAATGGACAGCTTGCATGCAACTAGACGATTTAAACTTTACAGAAAACTTAGCTGTTCTATCCACACACATGAACAAATGCAGGTCATGATAACCAATGTAGCAGCAGTCTCTGTAACAGTAGAACTCGGCGTACACGAGGAAGAATCCAACATCCCCCAACGCAACACGTAGAACACTAACCCAATCACACTTGATGGCGAAACTCTGGAGGATGTGGAATCTTTCACTTAACTGGAAAGAATCACTTATGAAAAAGGAGAATCCCATGAAGACGTAAAGGAAAGGATTGGCAAAGCAAGGACTGCGTTCCTATAGTTGAAAAACATATGGAACTTATTGTAACTATAAACTATTATCAAAGTCGGAGTCTCCAACACGAACGTTCTACTGAACGTAGCTGAAACTTGAAGAACTGTAGTGACATTGGACAATAGCCACACAATCCACAAAGCTGTGAACACGAGACTACTCAGAAAATAGATATTCAATATTTAACGCGGAGAAATACCTAACAATGGAGAAGGAGCGGAGAATGAATTGAATGGATTGGAGTTGATCGGATGGCATGGCTAGACCATGCAGGCGTGGTCCCTCTGAATGTTACCTTATATCTTCTATTCATATTAAATATATTGTTCCTTCTCTAGACTAACCTTGTTCTACATCATGTATTGGTAATTGATACGATACAGTGAGCTGGTGTAGTCGATGGTGTGACTTCCACATAAGATCTTATAGATTAGGCAGTTATATCATGACGAAGCTACAATTTTAGGATTAGGTCTATTATTAGAGCAGTACTAATATCATAGTAGACCACAACTCTACATTGGTAAGCCCGACTAGAGAAACGCAACCTATTATTGTTAATCTTATTTCCATTCTAAATTTCTTGATCTATTTTGTATTTATGTTAACCCAATATTCTAACAGTCCTGATTAATGCTCACATGTATTATCGTAATGTTATATTGGTTAGTTCTCATGACATACTAGCTCAATCGATAATAAAAACTGGTCGTCTATATTAACTAATTAGCTTTGATGGTTCGTTAACAAGCTTTAATAGCATTTACATGCTTCAGCGACATAGATTTGTTTAAGCATCGAGCTCTAGCAAATATGACCCGTAAATAACGCAAATATACATTGACTAACAATGCAGCAAGGACTAAATAGTTACATGGATCTAATATTCAGTGTTCCTTATCTTATCACCTCATCCTGTTTTAAACTATGCACTATCCTGTAATATCTTTACTTCCGACCACTGCCTGCCTAATTTCAAAGTTTCGAGTTCCATTGCCAAACAACAAGGATGGCACTTCTCTAAAAACATACGGTGAGTTTCAGCCATAAGTTTTCTGCAATCATAAGGTCATTTTAGATGGCTCGTTCAATGTTGACCGCACAATTATCTGAATTCATTCGGTTGTTCTAATCCGAGCGAGTGGCAAAAACGTCAACAGCATCAAGCACCCTGGGATTAATTACCATACTGCATGTTTTATTCTGGATACTTTTGGATCATTACTACTCACGAATGGCGTTATGTATGTCGTCCACTGAATAATCTAATTTTCAAAAATAACCCAGGCGAGTTCAACTATTTTACTTAATGATTTTTTTACTTAACATGTATATGTTTTCCGGTTCCTTTTGCTATATATTTGTAAGTGTCCCTAGGCTAAATGCAGTAACTCCTTATGGAATGTTTATAACGCATCATATTCCTGTGGAGATAGACCTGACAACCTTATTTTGTAAATAGTTTTCAATGTTATTTCCATTTGTTTTGCCAATTTCTCACTGTATGTACATTTATCATTAAATGACTGTACGTGTTGTTTTAGTCAACGACCTTGAACACTTTTTCCGTTGTAATTCGAACATAGCGTGACACACATTTTCGGTTGTTCACAAATACACTATTACGCACATACCCATTGTTCTATTCTCGCTCGTTACCAAGTCAATTGTGTTCTAAACTGGATATTATC